CTGGCTGGACCTCAGGAACAAAAGGGAAGTTTACAACCTTTAGAAAAGGGGGTTGGCAACTTATGAGGAATATCAAGATGTAGTGAATCTATGTAGGGGGAAAATTAGAAAGGCCCAGGCTCAAGCAGAACTCAACTTGGCCACTGTGGTTAAAGATAACAGGAAGAGGGTTTTTTGGTACATCAGTAGATAAAGGAAGACTAGGGGAAATGTAGGCCTGCTGATTAATGAAGTGGGCATCCTAGTGGTGGAAGACACAGAGAGGGCTGAGTTACTGAATGCCTTCTTTGCTTCAGCCTTCACTGCTAAAGCTGTCCCTCATTAATCTCTGGACACAAGGGGAAAGGTCTGGAGAGAGGAAGACTTTCCCTCAGTAGGGGAAGACTGGGTTAGAGACCACTTGGCCAAACTGGACATCCATAAGTCCATGGGCCCTGATGGGATGCACCCACAAGTGCTGAGAGAGCTGGCAGATGTTATTGCTGGGCCACTCTCCATCATCTTTGAAAAGTCTTGGAGAACAGGAGAGGTGCCTGAGGACTGGAGGAAGACCAATATCACTCCAGTCTTCAAAAAGAGCAAGAAGGAGAACCCAGGGAACTACAAGCTGGTTAGCCTCACATCTGTCCCTGGTAGGGTGATAGAGCAACTCATTCTGGATATCATCTCTAAACAAGTTGAAGAAGAGGAAGGTATTGGGAGTGGATGCAAAGGGAATCTTAGTAACAAAGGATGAGGAAAAGGCTGAGGTGCTCAACACCCACTTTGCCTCAGTCTTTAGCAATGGAACTAGCTGTTCCATGGATACTCACGCACAAGGGCTAGGAAACAGGGAGGGAATCCAGAATGAGGCCATCACAATTAAAGATGAAGTGGTCAGAGACCTGCTACACCACTTAAGACACACACAGGTTTATGGGACCGGATGTGCTACATCCAAGGGTGCTGAAAGAGTTGGCAGACATGATCACCAGGCCACTTTCCATTATTTACCTGAAGTCCTGGCTAACTGGGGGGGGGCGGTCCCAATGGATTGGAGGGTAGCAAATGTAACACCCATCTATAAGAAAGGCAGAAAGGAGGATCCGGGAAACTATAGACCTGTCAGTCTGACCTCAGTACCAGGGAAGCTCATGGAGCAGATCATCTTGAGTGTTATTAGAAGACATATAGAGGATAACCAGGGCATCAGGCCCAGTCAGCATGGGTTTATGAAAGGCAGGTCCTGCCTGACAAACCTGATTTCCTTCTATGACCTGATGAGCAGCCAGTTTTTTTATGAGAGTTCTATGGGGAACAGTGTCAGATGCTTTTTGGAGGTCCAGATAGACAATATCCACAGCCTTTCCCTCGTCCAATAGTCAGGTCATCAGGGAGGTGGTTGAGTCACCATCCCTGGATGTTTTTAAAGGTCGTTTGGATGTGATGTTGGTGGATATGGTTCAGGGGAGAACTTTGTAGAGTAGGGATGATGGTTGGACTTGCTGATCCCAGGGGTCTTTTCCAACCTGAATAGTTCTTTGATTCTATGATGAAAGAAAAGCCTTTCAGATGCCTTACAACTGTGATTTGCATCAAAGCAAGCGGCATTCAACAAGGAGCAAACAGACACTTACACAAAAAGTGATGACAGAATCGAGATCCACCTCTAATCTTAAACTGTGCACTACATCCAACTTGTACTGTGCCACTGTGGATTTTTTGATCATTTCTCTTCAGAAAAGACAAGAGAACAGCACCATACCTACTCAGTCTGCATTTCAGTTAATTTTAAAAAACAGCTTTATATCACAAAACACAATTTTTTTTCATGCTAATTCATACATCATTTTTAAAGTGTTTCCTTTTTAAAAATCTGATTTGAAATTATCTTCTTTTCTGTTTTTAATGCTCATTTCTGAACGGTCAGTCTTCTCACCTGAACTTCCTGTTCTTGTACATTATTGTATGTTGATGCAAGACCTGGTTGTCTGAAGTCCCACACTTTGCTATAAAACAGTTGTGTACAAGGCTACATCCTGGTCTGTGTGACAGAGACCTAAGTATGAGTAAAGAGTTTAGTTCACCACTTTGATACATGACATTTCATTCAGAATTTTAAAAGATCAAGTGTCTTCAAGTTGATGGCATCCTTCTGTTCTTTCCTCTTCAATGTTGCTTTTATTCAAACCTATCTATCAAAATGCTGACATCAAAAGAAAGTCTATTAATCACAATTTTTTGAAAATTAATATTCCAGGCAACAAAAACTCCTTTGGTAAATATTTCAGCCTTATCTGCAAAAGACATTCAGGAGATAATATCTACATATTGCTGAAAGATACAATCATTAGGAAAAATTACACCTTTTAGGCAATAAAAAGATGGTAGGAACTCTGTACTATGCTGATTTTGAATCTAAAAGGTAACATAAGTCATTCCCTTTCTGACTGGCAACGGCAATACTTTTGCTTTTACAGAACTTGAGAAAAACATGGAATAGCATTCACATTGCTTTCACTTTGCTTATCTTGACTAACTGTCTTTTCTGATTCTTAACAGCCTTTTTAGAGATTATTATCACAAGATTATAACACTACATGGTTTGCAAAAAACCCCAACAAAAACAACACAAAAAATATGTTTCTTCCAAAAGGTGGGAAAACCCAAAACTATTTTACATATCTTATCAGTCCCTCTCTTGTTGTCAGATGCTGCAATGCCTCAGTTTTTCAACTAGCTCAAACCTGCAAACTGCAAACCTGCCCCGAAGAAAAAACCTTTACCCAGGCTCTTTCTCACACTCACAGAAAAATCTATAAGTGGACAGCAAAAACATGTGTGCAGGTTCAAAATATTTAGAGACAGAATAAAAATTTTCTACACTGTCTATCCCCAGGAAGGCACAGGTAAATAATTAAGACACCATAACGCAAATACTGTATCTCACATGTGCATGCATGCAAATCAAAGTACAACTTTCATGCAAACCAGATAATGCACTTCTAAATTTACTTAACTAAGATATATACACCGTCTTTGAGGAAAGAGAGAAATTATGCCACTAATACTATGACTATCTAAGGCATCCTTAAAGAGTAAAGAAGTACAAGAAAACCAGAGAGGGAACAGAAGGGTACATCACCAAGTACTTTATGTAAAAAAATACAACACACAGCTTAGAAACATGAATTGCAAATTAAGACAGAGCTCACAAAACCAGCAGAATTCTGTAGACTTCAAAGACATCAATGTTTGTAACAGTATCTTCAGTATTTTTGAAAGGAACAAGGCTGAAGAAAATAAAAGTGTGCTAAACAAGGCTATAGACTGTCAAATAGACAGAAACCGACTAACAAGAGTAAAAGAAGAAAGCACAGTTCAAGCTGTAATACACTAAAAGAAACCCTTCCAATCAGGCTGGAAAATACCCACAATACACAACAGAGGTAATTCTTTAAAAATTCACTAAAATCCATTGAGCCAGTAAGAACACAGAGAATTCCAAATCTTAACATTCCTTGACTGCTGCACATGTGCATCAAAAGCACAAAACATTTATTTTTTTTAAATGCAAGAGTCAACTTCAACGTGCTCAACAGAACAAACTAATGGGAAAGGTGAATGTAAAGTAATGCTATTGCTCCTAATTTCATGCAGTTAGGATTAATGAAGTAATAAACTAACCTGAGTAACTGGTAAAAATGTGAAGCCATTTCAGAATTCAAATCAAAATGCTGTCTTCAGTTAGGAATTTATAAAAAAAACATACTTGTACAAACAAACCAACGAAACAAAAAAGATGTCCAAAAGCCATAGTGAGGAGTTTAAAGTGAGGTATGAGTATATAAAAAAAAATCTAAGAAAATCTGCATTGCTTGTTGTTTTAAAGCTGTTTTCCTTTTTTTTTTTAATCAAATCATGTCTACTTTGACTTGCCTCAAAACCTGATTAAACAGGTATGAGAACCACACGTTTCTGACAGTCATATGGAAAACTAATTTAAATACTGAATAAAAAATATTTACTTTTAATTTTTCACGTTGTTACACCCATAAAAGAATGAGGATATTGCTGTCTTTAGCAAGAAAACAGAGGAGATTTTTTTCAAAATGTTTTGATTTTATTAACATCTAGAACATTCTGAGAAGATGTAATATTGCGAAAAAACTAAATTAAGGTTTCCATTTATTGATGTGCTGGATCAGTCAGAAAGAGCTTGTGACCTTGCACAAACTGACCTCAGCAAAACTTAGAAGAAATATACAAGTAAAGTGCTTTCCTCCATCACATCTCTGTCCCAGAGAACCCAGCATACCAACACCATAACCCCTCGCACATTTGAGGACAGTGTAAAATTATGTGGGAAAAGGGTATAAAAAACTCTTGAAGATCAAGAGTCTAATGACCTATTCTATGTTAAATTCAGACATTTAGGAGCACTGTAGTGAATAGAAATTATCTATACTCACCATATATTTAAAAAATATACTCCACAAAGACAAAGCCACACCTTTTTAATTTCATAATTTTTCTGCCCTTACGTACAAATTCTACCATATAAAAAAATGCTGTACCCCTATCATGCTTCACGTCATTGCCTAGAACCCTGGGAGTAAAAGGCCTGCCTTTTACTAAAGTAGTAACTTTAGTAGCTTCACTACTCACACTTGCAACCTACTAAGCAATGTATTTAAGAAAACAGGCATGAATCATGGTTTGCTTTCCATCATATATTCCAGGACACAGATAAGCTAAGGTTCTAGAAGCCTCCTCTTCTGCTTCTTATGGGAAATATTAATTAAATCCTTCATCACAACTGTGTTGATTTGCTCCCTCCTAACACTCAACACGATCACAGACAGCAGAGAGAACCTCCTGTGGTTATTAACAACTTTGGAGCAATGCGTTATGGCTGAGTTAACATGTTCTCTAACATTTATGGCATTTTAAAATCAGATTTTTCTAAAACTACCAGACTTAAACTTCAAATCTCTGAAAGAGTCAAGCAATACACTTACCTGCAATTGGAATATTCTGTGAGACTGAAAGCTGTACATCTCCAGTCCCAGGTGGCATGTCAATTACTAAATAGTCCAGTTGACCCCAGTCAACCTAGAAGACAACCATAAAAATGTATGTTGCAGGTCTGAAGTGTTTCTATTTAAGGCACTTCGTGTTTTATTGCCGTCCTTGTTTTCTAGAATGTAAAATAAGTGAACCAAGGAGACACCAAAAGAATGATACAGAGATGCCCTTTTAGTCATACTTGCACTACAGGAACAAGACTATGTTTTTCTACAAGATGCAACATCTGCTGATGATTCAAAACTACGAGCACAACTTTACCATTAGCATTAAGAGCATAATCCATACTGGACTATTTTCCACCAAAAAAGCAGCAACAACTAAAATTAAGTTTTTTACTTTGCCTCTGCTTTATCACAGGTAAGAAGCAAATATTAGGTAAAATTTAGGCTAAAACTCTGGTTTTGTGCATCTAACATGGCAGAGGAGTTGTTTCCATTAACTTTAAACCAATTTTGCTCGCTTCTTATCACTTGTTTGAAACTATACATAAAACTTTAGTAATTTTCTTTTCATTTGTTCTTGCAAAGTTAGAGCTATCAGTAATGAGTTTTCTCCTAGAAAAAAACTCCTGTAAGGAGAAGAAAAAACAAACAAAAAAACCCCAAACCAAACCAACCCCAAAAAAACCCCTAAACCAACAGATTTGTTAAACAAAAATCACCAGGTATAATTATACAAACTTACAATGTACATAAGATGTCACACACACACAAAATGTTTACTGTTTGCTAGGCAAATGAGAGCAGCCACTAAGGACAGTAAGCTCAAATATGAGAACGCTGTGATTACTTATGTTCTTCACCAACAAAATTTCCAGGAAAGCCAAGTAACTCTCTGGAGCACTTTGTACTGCAATAAGTGTTCTCTTCATGAGGACAGAAATGGTTCTAGGCCTCCTCTCTACTAATGCAAAGCTGTGCTGGTTTGGTTGGTTTATGGGTAGTGGGGGAAGGGCCCCAGGGGTGGCTCCAATAAGAAGCTGAAAAAAGGTCCTCCAGCTCCAAAAATCAGCTGGCCACTGAGCTGCTAGAGAGAGACAATTGATGTACCTCTGGGATTAACATACAAAAGAACTGATGTAAGACCTGAGCAAAGAGCAAGTCCAGGAGAAAGAGCTGTGCTAGAGAGGTGAAAAACATTGCTGGGATGAAGATCCCAAGGCTGAATGAGGAAGAGAGGGGAAGAAGGTGCCAGAGTAGAAATTCTCCTGCAGCTCATGGTGAGATGGCAGCTGTCTCCCTGCATGCATGGAGGAACATGGTGGAACATTCCCTGAAGGCACCAGGAGGGACAAATGTGGATTTGCATCCCGTGGACTTGGATCTGCAGCCATGGAGGACCCCAGGCCAGGGGAGGTGGCTGTTCCCAAAGCAGCCTGTGACTCTGTGGGAAGCTCAGGCTGGAGCAGCTCCGGACCTCGTGCGAAGGACTCATGAAGGAGAGGTCATGGAGGACTGTCTCCCATGGAAGGGGCCCAATGGGGAAGCAAGAAAGGACTGTAAGGAATCCTTCCTGAGGAGGAAGGAGCGGCAGGAACCACCAGCCTGTGAACTGACTCTAAACCCCATCCCCTCTCCCCCTGTGCCACTGGGAGGAAGGAGGGATTGGAACCGGGAACAAAGTGACTTGAGACTGGGAAGAAGGGAGGGGTGGGGGTAACGTGTGTAAGCACTGCTCTTTGTTTTTCCTGCATGGCCAGGTGGCTGGTTCTTTGTTGTCATGTTAGGCCTAAACCATGACATTTAATGGTGACCCAAATGAGAGGGAGGGGTGGGGGAAAGAACAGATATATAAACTTATATACAAATATATACAAAACCGATATTGATGATCATAGAAATAGGTGGGTGAGAGTCCCTTGCAGCAAGGCCACTTTAGGAGACTGGTCCACAGCTCCTCACAGCACCTAATGGAGTTGGATTCTGGAGTGCACGTGGCAAACTGAAGAATTTCTGAGCAGAAACAGCCACAAGGAAGGAGGCGTGGAAGGGGGCTGAACATCTGGTTCTCCTGTCTTTTATAGAGTATTGCAGGAAGCAGGGGGGAATAATGACCCCTCCCTCTTCCAACCCTCCCAGGTCTTTCAGGGTCTTAAAGACCCTCTCTCTAGTTCCTCTTCCATGTATCTAACCCCAGGCCAGGGTCACTTAAACCACAACAAAAGCCAAGCTCCAATTCACCTAAACATTTCCCAGTGGTTTAACTAAGCTTTGGGAGATCCTCAATTCAACTCTGACGTGGTGCAGGTTAGTACCAGTGCACTGCTACTATCCAGCAGTAATGATACACAGTCTTTTGTCTCTGCAGTAAAGAAGCTTTAGAAATCATAACCATGTTACAAATAAAGACCCACAAATAGCTCCCTTTCATTTTTCTCTCCACACAGACGTGATGCAATTGTATGGTATGATTATGTTCCATATAATGGATACAACAGTCTATTAACGGCTTTAATACAGGAAAACACACAAAAAAGAATAAGGTTTTACTTTTTTATTTTACACATACTCTCAGTGTGATTTTAACAGCAAAACCAATTGACATTTTGCCAGTTCCCCAGTTACTGTCCAGTAGTGTCAGACTCTGCCAGAGAAACACTCACTAACTTCCAGTCAGTTCTCATACAGATTATGATCTTCTGGGGAAGCACAAGGGATGGGAAATTCAGACCACTAACCCAACAGAGCACTTCAGTGAGAAATGGAATTTTTCAAGGCAGACTGATGAAAATGCAAGATTTCAGAGCACTTTAAGGGAGAAACAGAGGTGGGGAAAGTTGGTTGCAAATTCTAACTTCAGACATCTAAATTAGGGACTCTCAGGCATACCTCCCTTTCCTCATTTTCTATAGAAAGGCTGTAGGAGCACTGAAGGGTGCCTAAAACAGTCTAGCTAAACAGGAAATGCTACTTATGTCAACCACAGCAAACACTGCACTTTTTCACGTGTAATATTAAACTGTATTATCTACAATTCCTATATTAATATTTATATTTTGTCAACCAAGGAATACACCTACCCGATTTCTAAAAGTTATTAGCATTCATAATTATACTGAGACCATACAACCCCGAAGAAAAATTACGGGTATGTGCAAAAATGTATGTACTGAAACTTAAGCATCGGGTAGAAAAGTCAGTTTGTCTTAAAAAAAAATAAATTAAAAATCAGTTCTTTACTTTATTTCTCTTAACTAATCTTGCTTAGTCATAAAGCAAGGTAAAAGCCAGTACTGATGAATGCCTCCTTTCCAGTGAAAACAACTTCGGTCTCTTGAAGGCATGAACTTTACATCTCTATGTGTCTTAATTAAAAACTAACCATTATAAAAGGTGACAAATTGAAATTATATAGATGTTAAGAAATTTAACATGAGTGAAGTAAAATTCCTTAAAGATTTGTAACTAAACACACATATAACCTCTAAATAGTAAAGCCCATAAATCTCAATATGCAAACCCAAATATTTTGTAAAAATCACAACCATTTTGAAAGGCTAAGCTATAGAGGGTTTTGGTTTTTTTAAAGGATTAACTCAAAATACCTCCCTCCCAGGTCTTCATAAAGGCTTATCCTGGCATCTTTTCTTATGTCCAGATTTACAAGTCCAGTAATCATATTTTCCTTCAATAAATACTTCTACAGAAACTATGAAGAAACCCTTTTACTTTCTCCTTTACAGCAAGCTGCAGTCCTGAAACAAATGTATGAATGGCACAGCACTACTGTCATTCTGACAGTTTCCGAGCACCCAAAAACAGTTCTTGAAAAATCTTGGATATTGGGTAGTTTTCAGCCCTTTTCTCCATGAGCTCAACTAAAAGTCCTTTTAAGTACAGCACTGTCCCATGGCACAGTACAAGACAATCCAAACCACACCCTTATCAGAGGTAATTGTAATAAAAATAAGCTGTCTGGTTTTGCAAGTACTTGCTAGCCCTGACTTCAACCTACACCCTATAATGGAACAAGGTGACTTTCTGGGCCTGTCTTACACCTTTTCTTACCACTTTTACCAGAGGTTCTGCTTCCCAAGGACTACTACTCTACTTGCTCCTTCATCAAGCTCCACATGATCCACCTACATAGCAAGCATTACAGTTCCCCAAAGAAAACAAAGGTGTTTTTTATTTCTGTTACTATGTGGAACACCAATGGAGAAGACTTCAAAGGCCCATGCACAAACCCTTTCCTAGGTGTTCAGCTTTGTGGAGAAGCACAAAGCAGTTGCTGCTCTTTTAAGCAGAGGTAGCTGCCTTGGTAAAAACATCTCCATGTAAAACCTCTAAAGTAAAACAACACTTTTCATAAATAGTTCTCCACTTCAAATCCACACAAAATGATAATTGCTGAAGAAGTTACTTTCAAAATTTAACATATTTAGTACAATGGAAGAAGGGGTAGAGATATCAGAGGCATCAGAGCTTTCTTACTTCTTCCTTAGTAAGTGATGCCGTAACAGCAAAAAGGACCTTCAAGATGAACTTTCTAGATTGTCCTATGAGTGATGACTTTTAAAGTTACAAACCCCTGAAACAGAAGTTAAGAGAGGAAATTTAAACACACAGTGAAACTCATAGTAAATCTCCTTGCTAGGCCACACAAAAAATACTCTGTTAACACACAGTGCAAATAGATTATAACACTTAATTTATGGTACTGAAACCATCTCTTTCACATATTTTCTTCAAATTCATGAATTGAAAGAAGAAATTAGCTGTCTTTATAAAATTAATTGTGCTCCATTGTAATACTTATAAATCTGAGCACAGAAACATAAAGCTACACCATCCCAGTAGCAGTGGAGAGGATGTGCTGCTGCTGTGCAGAGTAGGATGGAAGACAGGTTTTTGCTATACCAGGTCAGAAAAGGCAACAAAGAAGATGCGTAGGTAAGTATTGAATATATATGAGAACTACCCTCTACACAGCTCTCTGTTTCATGCCACTGCTGTAGCACTGAACTGGTGGAAGTAAGATGGCAAACTAGATTGGAAAACCATTCCTCATTAAACCTAACTTTG